TTTTGTCAAAGAACTTCCCAAATATCCAACAAGTTCAGATAATTCAACAGAAATTTTAACAACTAAATAATTCTAACAATATTTCAACTGTTTTAGAGCACAGAAAAAAGAGGAATGTTTCTAATTCTTTTTAGGACATGAGCATAAAAACTGCTAACAAAACTCCTCAATGAGATCACAGATATGAAAATTACAGCTGCATTACATTGGTGAATAAAGATACAAATATACTAAATAAAATATGAAACACAATTTAGCAAACAGTAAGTACACCATGAACAAATGGAGTTTCAGAAACAGAGAAAACAGTGGGATGGTAAAAAAAATTATGAAATATACTAATTCATCACATTATAACTGGAGAAACATTAAACCCTTCCATACATGTTGAATACAGAGTGATGAAGAAAGCATCAAAAGAAGACGGAAGGAATACACAGAGTCACTGTACCAAAAGGAAATGGTTACTGTTCAACCTTTCCAAGAGGCAGCATATGATCAAGAGCGAGTGATCCTGAAGGAACAAGTCCAAGGTGCATTAAGTCATTGGTAAAGAACAAGAAACCAGGAACTGATGGAACACTAAATGAAATCTGTCAACAAAGTGAAACGGCACTCCAGGGGCTCACTAATCTATCTATGCCAAGAAATTTGGAAGACACTACCTGGCCAACTGACTAGAAGAGATCTGTATTTATGCCCATCCCAAAGAGAAGTGACCCAAAGAAATGCAGAAATCATCGAACAGTACCATTGACATTCCATGAGAATAAAGTTTTATTAAAGGTAATATAGAAACAGCTGCAACTAAACATTGACAGAGAACTTCCAGAGGTTCAAGACTTCAGAGGATATGGATATGGAATAAGGGTTATCATTGCTGACATCAGATAGATCTTGGCTGAAAAGAATACTAGAAAGATGCTTACTTGTGCTTTATTGACTACGCAAAGGCTTTTGATTGTGTGGATCATGACAAGCTATGGACAACATTGCACATTATGAGAATTCTGGAACACTTAATTGTACTCGAGGAACATAGACCAAGAGGCAGTTGTTTGAACAGAACATGTGAACACGGAATGGTTTAAAATTAGGAAAGGTATGCAATAGGGTTGCATTCTTTCACCATATTTACTCAATCTGTATGCTGAATAAATAATCCGAGAAGCTGGATTACACAAAGAACGTGGCATCAGCATTGGAGGAAGGCTCATTAACAACCTGCGATATGCAGATGATACAACCTTGCTTGCTAAAAGTCAAGAGGACTTAAAATACTTATTGATGGAAGATCAAATACTGCAGCCTTTGGTATGAGTTGTACTTTAATGTAAAGAAACCAAAAATCCTCACCACTGGACCAATAAACATCCTTATCCATGGAGAAAAGATTGAAGTTGTCAACAACTTCATCCTTCTTGGATCAACTATCAACACTCATGGAAGCAGCAGTCAAGAAATCAAATGATTGTTTTACATTACGCAAATCTGCTGCACAAGACTTCTTAAAAAGTGTTTTAGAGCAAGGATGTCAGTTTTGAGGACTAAAGCGTGCTTGGTATACAAGTCATGGTATTTTCAATAACCTCATATTCATGTGAAAGCTGGATGATGAATAAGGAAGACTGTAGAAGAATTAATGCATTTGAGTTACAGTGTTGGAGGAGAACATTGAAAGTAGCACAGATTGCCAAAAGAACAAACAGATCTGTGTTGGAAGAAGTGCAGCCAGAGTACTCCTTTGAAGTCAGGATGGCAAGACTTTCATCTTCCTATTTCGGACACATTGTCTGGCGGGACACCAGTCACTGGAAAAAGAGATCATGTTTGGTTAAGTGCAGGGTCGGAGAAGAAGAGGAAGACCCCTAATGAGATGGATTGGCACAGTGGCAGCATCAATGGGCTCAAATGTAGCAAAGATTGTAAGGTTGGCCCAGGATCGGGCAGTGTTTCATTCTGTTGTGCACAGGATCGTTATGAGTTGGTACGGACTCAATGTCACCTAACAACAAATGTTGAAAAAGCATATAAGTCAATATGCATTCTTGATCAATTAAAAAAAAATAGGGATCAATGAATACTTCTTTAACATGATTAAATGGATTTATCTCACCGGAGTTTATTAGAGCCAGTGCTATTAAACATTATTCTAGAAGTACTAGACCATGCAATTTAGACCAAAATAAGGTACACAAACTAGAATGAAGGTTATGTTATCACTGTTTACAGATGACATGACTGTTGTTAAGTACCGTCGAGTCGGTTCCGACCCATAGCGACCCTGAACAGGGTTTCTGAGGCCATAAATCTTTACGGGAGCAGAAAGCCTCATCTTTCTCCAACGGAGCAGCTGGTAGTTTCGAACTGTTGACCTTGTGGTTCACAGCCCAATTCATAACCACTACGCTATGACTGTATAGCTACAAAAATCTAAAAAATAAACTGAAATATTATTACAAATGATCATAAAATGGAGCTAGGTGTCTCGTACCAAATTAACATTTGTTGTTGTTAGGTGCTATCGAGACAGTACTGACTCATAGCGACCCTATGCACAACAGAATGAAACACTGCCCTGTCCTGGGCCAACCTTCCAATTGTTGCCATGCTTGAGCCCATTCATGCTGTCACTTTGCCAATCCATCTTGCTAGGGGTCTTCCTCTTTCTCTCTGACCCTCCACCTTACCAAACATGGTATCCTTCTCCAGCAACTGGTCCCTCCTGACAATATGTCTGAAGCGTGAGAGGCGAAGTTTGGCCATCCTGACTTCCAAGAAGCACTCTGGCTGCTCTTCTTCCAACACAGATCTGTTGGTTCTTTTGGCAGCCCATGGCACTTTCAATATTCTCCTACATCACCATAACTCAATAGCATCAATTCTTCTATGGTCTTCCTTACTTACGGTCCAGATAATTATTACATGGAATCCTAGTGTGGCACTACTGGATAAGCACCAGACTGGTAGCCACAAGGTCAGTAGCTTAAACCTACCAGCCACTCCTTGGGAACCATATACATGGTTGCTATGAGTAGGAACTGACTTGATGGCACTTCACAAAGAATAGATTATTTATTAAGTAGCTTTGAGGTAACTAGGTGACCATGGAAAAACCCCAAAACCCTATATTCAGGATGAAACAATGATCTAAGTATAAAAATCAAATAATACCCAAACATTGAATATTTTAACTCTAATTATATAACACTGTTACATAAATGTTTATATACTAAAGTCAGGCGAAGTAAAAAAATATTATAAAGGACCTTCATTAACAATGGTAACAAAAAAAAGAGGAGGAAAGCCCCAAGAATAAACTTTAAAAACACATACTGATAGCTCTGTACAGTCAAATTTAAAACATTTCTGAAGAAAAGAGAAAACTTAAACAAATGAAGAGGACCATGCTTTCTTCAACACAATATCAAATTTCTCCAAATTAATCTATACCTTTAAAATTATCCAAAATGAAAGTATCAATGGATCTGATTTGTGGACCTCAAAAAGCTAATTTCAGATAAAATAAAAAAATAAGAGTATGTGAAACATATTTTATTGAAGTTACAGTTTTCAGAACAGTGTAGGAGTGATACAAAGAGAAAGGCAGATCAACTGAACAGATATAGAGACATACTCAAATATGAGAATTTACGGTAAGTGCCATTTCAAATTGTATGGAAAATATAGATTATTTAATAAATAGCTTTGAGATAACTTGGTGACCATTGAATCCCCTCCCCCCCCCACAAAAGAAACCCCTATATTCAGAATGAAACAATGATTTAAGTGTAAAGATCAAATAATAAAAATATCCAATGTTTAAATATTTAAACTCTTATTCGGTATTATTTTTTCCTTGAGAAAAATTTGCATAAAGTATTGATGGTACACTTCAGTTTGCATTACTATGTATGGTATTTCCATTAATAGGTACTATAGGATAAGCACTGGACTGATAACCACAGGTTAGTGGTTCAAACCCAACCAGCCACTCCTCGAAATTCCTGAGTCAGAACAACTCAACATCACTTAACAATGGTATCTCTGTAGGACACTCAGGAATTTTGTTGTCTACTTGAAAAGGAACTAAAAGGCAAAGAGCCAGGTTTAAGAGACTTACTTTTTACTGTTTGAACCAGAAGAATGTATTATTTATAAAATGAAACACATAACAGTAAATAAAATAGCCCTCCCTTTTACGCCTCATGTTATTAGGAGGGCTATAAGAACGGTAACTTGATTAACGTGAATCCTGCCAGTAGAATGTTCTATAATGGCTTGATGTATATCTGAAAATAAGTTCAAAAGAGAACTGAGTTACTGCATCTCACAAGACACCTTAAATCAGGCAGAGTCAGGTCCTTGGGGATTCTCATCCTGGAGTACTGGTAAACCCACTGCCATCAAGTCAATTCTGACAGTCAGCAACCCTGTTTCCGAGACTGGAAATCTTTACTGGACCAGACAGTCTCCTCTTTCTCCCGCATAGAGGCTGCTGAGTTTGAACTGCTGACCTGTGGCTAGCAGTTTGATATGCTTTAAACCACAGGACCACCAGAGCTCATTGGAGCATTAGTATGCTGTTGTTGATTCTGACCCATAGTGACCTTGCATGAGGTTTCAGAGGAGCGGTTGGTGGATTGGAACCACAGATATTGTGGTTAGCAGTCCAGTTCCTATCCTATCGTGCCACACCAGTAGCTATTGGTATAAGCGCCTAGTATTAGTTAAGAAAGAAAATATCCTCTTTCCCCTTTACTTTTTAGTCTGGATATAGTTGTTGTTACGTGCTGTCAAGTCACTTCTGACTCAGAGTGATGCTGTACAGGGGTTTCTAAGGAGCTGGTGGGTTTGAACAACTGACCTTGTGATCCAAACAGACCTTGCGGTCCAGTGCGATATCTCAAAGCACCACACCAGGACTCCATTCTAGATATAGTATGTAATTTATGAATTCAATTTGAACATACACCAAAATTAAAAACAAAGAGCAACTGTGACTTAAAAAGTACCTCAAGGCAATATAAAAAAGTCATTTTAATTTTTGATACATATTAAAACATTTTAGTCAGTCTTCCTGACAGCATAACACAACAAATACACAAGACCTCAAACATGCTTTAAAATGACATTCAGCAAAGTATTTAAAATTTAATAAATAGCAATAATCACACACAAATACATTTTCGTATTCAATCATTAGGCTACTAAAACAGACAACTACAGAATAAATAAATAGGAATTGACAATACAAAAAATATGCAGGGTTTTGCAATTAACTCTACTTAAAAAAAGGGGGGGAGTGATCTGAATGGTTTCTTGATTTGTTTTTCTCCAACATTAATTAGCCCTCCAATGAATAAAACTGTTGAAAAAAATTACTTTCTTGCAATAATGCAGTCTTTATAAATAAATATGAAACCAGCAAAGTAATTTAAAGTTGTAATAAAAATGCATCCTTCTCACTAAAAAAAATCAAAAACCTATGGAAATATATAGTTATTGTGTAGCAAATAATAGTATTTAAAGTGATAGTGCTTGTGCACTAAACTTATCTGAGATCTTGATAAGATTTTAGTGCAAATCCCTAGGGTCTCATACAAGCATAGCCCTCTCTCAGGGAAACATTACCAGTTGGAAATTCTCTTGTACAATTTTTGTACATATTTTATAAAGTTCAAGATTAATGCATAGTAGAGTATCTTCATCCACTTAACTCTGTCCCTAAGTAGAGATGGAAAAAACAGAAATGACTTGGGATTTTACCATTTGGTATGTACCATATTAGAGTATTAAAGTCAATATTAGAAAATCTATAAAAGAGTTTCATTTTTGCCAATAATTTATCTAACTATCTAAATTTCACATCACTGCATGTTAAACATAAGAGAAAAATATTTAGAGAAAGATTATTTTCTTCCTTTGACAAGCTCATATTATGAGGAAATCCAATAATATTTAGACAAATGTTATATAAATAAAAACATAGGTGAGTATAAGGATTTTTTTTTTTTTACATTAACAACCTTAACATCTAGTAGTTTATCTCAAGATGTGTTGGCAAATGCATAAAGGATTCAATGAAAAGAAGATATTTTGTACAAACCTTTTAACATAAGACAGATAAACTGACAGTCAAATGAGTTTCAGCAGCCATCTTTCTACTGTGGGCTACAGTACCAAGATAAAAACAATTGAAAACAGATGGAAGAACATCAATGAACAATATGGATACATAATGTATTTGTAGCTGCTAAAATAGTAAACTCTAAAAGTTTATAGAGTTACAAGGAGTACTTAATTTAACCATGCAGGCTAACACATCCAAATAAGAAATCATCCTGCATCTTTTTCTTTTCAAATGAAAACCAGTTTTCATTGTAAAGTTACAAAACAATGGATATTGCTCCGACTTGTATACAATCTGTTATTTGATTCATCCCTAACAAAGTAACAATGCTTCATCATCACTTGTTTCATTTTTTAGTGTTACTTCTAAGCATGTGTCCGGTATCTGGGCAGTGTGGACGATACCACAATGCTCACAAGGGCCATCTCGGTTACTTGGTCTAACTCCGGAGTTTGTTGCATTAAATGGTTGTCTAAACCCTGGTCCTTGATCTGAGGCAAGATCAAGAAGAGGTCTGGAGGAGTCATTCGCATCAAAGTCTGAAGCTCCATCAGAAATTGGAATTAGCATTTCAACATCATCATCTTCCTCTCTTCCATTTACCCCATTATCAAGTTGTCTCAAAGGACTTTGGTTCTGATTCACAGAGCTTGCTCGTCCTAAAGTAAACCGTACCCAGCGGAGCCCCTGAGTCATACGACTTAGTGCACTTGTGAGTTGGTGACGTGCTGGACTTACACTTGGGGGTTCCACGTTTGTCACATCCCTTCCGTTATCTGTATTACCACTGCGGGTAGTCTGGGTTGAAGAGCTTCCACATGCGCCCACTGTTGCCTCAACTGCTGTTGTGGGTGGGACTTTCTGGGGCAGAGGTGCTGCAACCCCACCAGATGCTCCTGCGGTATCTCTTCGTTCGTTTTCTGTGTCTGTGTCATCAGACTCCACGGAAAACAGGTTCCGGTGAGTACTACTTCGTTCAGGTTCTCTGCTTGTATTCTGACTAGAGACAACCTCATCTCCGTCTGCTGATACCAACGCCAGTGACCCTGAGTGACGTGATCTTGCAAAATTAAAAATACGATTCCAGATGTTGCTGGATCTGCCTGCCATTGGAAGCCTAATTGAAGTAAATCCAAGCTGAGATCGTACAGCTAGCCTCAGGTTTTCCAAAACAGAAGCCTAGAAAAGTAAGAAAAGAGCTTAAGACGGCTAATAAGGTATTAAGGTGAAAAACATGCTTCCGTTGAGAATGTGTCATGGCAAAAATTCTATTGCCCAGTTGCTAGGGTCTAAGGAGAATGAATCACATTCTCTCACCAGTGCAGACTCACATCACCAGAGAATCTAATCGGTATCACTGTTCACTGTGTTGAAGATTTTCTTGACAATTCATTTTATATATGTACCTTTAGTAGGATAAGCACTTGACCACAAGGTTGGTTTGAACTATCAGGCTGGCAGTTCAAATTCACCAGCTGCTCGTTAGAAACCCATACAGGGTCACTGTGAGTTGGAACCGACTTGATGGCATTTAACACCAGCATAAAAGCTATTGTTTCCAATCTGCACGTAGTACCTTTTCCCCCTAGTAATCCAGTCCTAGAATTGGGCTGCTAATCTCATGGTCAGGAGTTCGAAACTACCAGCTGTTCCACGGGAGAAAGATGATTTGCTCCCGTAAAGATTTGCAGCCTTGGAAACCCTGTACAGGGTCGCTATGAGTCAGAACTGACTCCACGGTACTTAACAGCAATCCAATCCTAAAAGTATACCAGGGTTAGAAGATAAAATTATTTGATACTTTCATAACTAGAAAGATAAAAGCACCTTTAGAAAAAAAACACTAAATGTCCTAAAGAGTCTGTAAAAACTTAGTTTACATGACTGAAATGATTCCTAAAACACGTGAAAAATATATTTCATAGTGGACTCTCAAGGATTTGTTGGATGAATGGATACTGAGGATTTATTTACACTGTCATATATAAAGTTTTATTTTCCTCAGTTTATTACTAAGCATAAATTATTTTACCTTTGTTGTTGTTGTTAAGTGCCATCGAGTCGGTTCCGACCCATAGCGACCCTGTATAGGGTTTCCGAGGGTGTAAATCTTTACGGGAGTAGAAAGCCTCATCTTTCTCCCGCGGAGCGGCTGGTAGTTTCGAACCGCTGACCTTATGGTTCACAGCCCGATTCGTAACCACTACGCTACCAGAGCTCCTTTAGTCTTTGAAAACTGGTGCTTTTTAATTGGTATTACAGGAAGTATATAATCTGTATGTATATACATAGATTATCCAATTGAAAAAGTCTTTTGTTTATTTTAGATGAATAAATTTATAGATTATTTTAAAAACCTAAAGCATTTATTAAAAACAAAAAACAAACATACCATCTTTAAGCTCCACCTAGTGGTTATTAAAAAGCAATATTCAAACTTGGAACAAACAAACCTTTCTTTTTATCAATCTGGCATTTAGTATTCAAAACACAGTATTTCTAGGAAACAGTGATGAACTGATATTCTCTGTAACAAATGAGGACTTAGTGTCTTAATTTAGGTTTTTCCTACATTGCACAGTGGACCTTTTAAAATTAGTTAGTATATTATACCCAGAGTAATGTTTCTAAAATACAAATTCTTACCAATGATTTCCTAAGACTCAAATAAAATGACAAACTCAAATACATACTGTTGTTGTTGTTGTCAAGTGCTGTCCAGTCAGTTCCAACTCTATATAGGGTTTCCGAGGTGCAGCTGCTGAGTTTGAACCGTCAACCATGTGATTCAAACCGACCCTGTGGTTGAGTGCTATTCCTACAGCACCACAGCAGGTGAGTATTTAAAATTTCCCTGTCAAAATGATCTCTTGCCTTTATCCTCAGAGAAGGAGAAAGGAGGAGGGCAAGGTAGACCTGACAGCATATGCTCTCCATCCCTCTCTGTAACTGGTACTGCATTTATCTGTAATTTCTGAATGCGTTTTCTGAGTATTAAGAGACCACAATCACAGGGCTATTTCATAATTTGGTCTCAGTAAAGCACTGTCAATAAGAAGTCTGTATAAGAGCAACCATGGATTTCCTACACAAATAGTAGGTTTTTCTATTACACAAATAGCACTCATTCACTAATGAGTAAGTGCCATGAGTTGGAATTGACTCAATGACAGCTAACAACAGCACCAACTACAAGAAACGGAAAAGTGGTTCACCTCATGAACTTCTCCACAGATTTGGTCTGAAATACTTAGCACTCAAGTTCAAAGGCTTTGTGTGAGCACTACATCATCAATCCAGCAATAAACAAAAGGTTTTCCTATATTCTAGGGTGTCAACACTGATTAAGATTACTAATGCCCTCAACACACTTTAATGCTGCTGACTTGAACATTATGACCTGTCAAAGCAAGATGAAGCTCTCAACTTAGTAGACAGTAATCAGAACTCCTATTTACCTAAAAGGAGATGGACTTCCATTCTCTTGGGAAGTAAATCATTGGCAAAATAATGTTTCTCAACTTTTCTTAACTCTAATATTTGTGGTTGTTTGAACCACAAGGTTGGTGGTTCAAACTCAGCAGCCACTTCTTGGAAATCCTATACAGGGTTGCTATAAGTTAGAACCGACTCGACAGCAATTAACAACAGCAAACAACAACGCCTGAAACAATTTTTAGAAATAAAATGTTTCTGGTTAAATTTACATTTAAAATTTACAATCACATACGTAAAATGAACCCTGGCAGATTTCAGGTGCTAAAAAGTACTTCCTAAAAATTGCAGAGGAATTTAAAGAATTCCACAACAGTAACAAATGATTTATCATTTGTTAAAGGAAACAGATGAACTCTTCAAGTCAGCTGTGAAATTTTCCTTCAAATAAGGTGGAAACGTTAACTTCATTTCAATAACTTTAACTTGTAGTCTAGTATATTGCTAATATTTCTTCACACATTAATTTTTTAATATTTATTCTTAAACCTTCTTGTAAATGTTTAGTTCAAGTAGAAAATGATTTCTCAAACTTTACTTCTGAATTTTAATACATGAAACTATCTTGTACAGTAAAAAGTCTAAGAATTGTATAACCAAACTAGAATGAATAAAAAGTATATGCTTTTGCATTTTTGTAGTATGAAAAAGCATAATATCAATGCCTTTGAATATTTAATACTTGTTTACAAATTGTAAACTCTGACATAATCATAGTCAAGGGCCCTTGCTCTAATACATACAATTACAGATTTGACTTTAACAGGTATTGAAACGGGTATCATAAATTGCAATATACCTGATTAGGTGAACAGACAGGAAAATCTTCAACTGGTGGAATTAAACCCTGAGCAATCAATTGTCCATAAGAGGGAGGAGCTTCTCTTCTCAGCAATTCCGCTTCTACTCTTGACAACTGTGTTTCAAATGATCTTGGAGAGTAGATGGGAAATAAAAAAGGTTAAAAAAAGAGGCAAGACAAACATCATTTAAAAAAAATTAATAGAACGATCTGAATTTTTATATTTGAGTCATTTTTAAAGTTTAGTCAATTCAACACATATTGACTATCCATACTGTCCCTTCAGTGGGAATCCAAAGATGAAACAGTCTGGCCCCCATGGAGCTCTACAGTGGCCAGAGCTTGGGTCACTTTCAATCAATGGAAAATCCCTATAAAAGGGACATACAAATGCTAGATCTTAAAATCCCTACAGTCATAGGGGGCTCCAGATTTTAAATGAAAGTATTTGAAAGCTCTGAAACGACACTTTATTCAAGTCTAACACATTTAACTTTTAGATAAGGAAGAGTGAAATGAGTCACCAGTATACTTTCAGGAACTTCTGGTTCTTGAACTCAAGACCTCTGACTCTTCTTTGTGTGCTTATGTTGCAAAGTGGTAAAAGGTTTTCCTAACCATGTATACTGGTCCAAAGGAAAGGTGCAGCATTGATTAATCTGATATTGTCTCAAGTGTCTGACAATGAAAAGCATTTTGTTAATCTATTTGTAACTGCTGGAATTGAAGGTCATTGGCCCCACAACAGCCTCTTTCTTAGGTGACCTGTGTTGCCATGGACTTCTCTGACTCATCCACCTTCACCAGCCTGAAAATCAGCTCTGACAGTAGGAATCTACTGACTGCTTTAGAAACATCCCCAAACCCTTCAATGGTTAACCATTTCTTAGTGAAATCAGAAGGAATATCAAGCAAGGCTACATTGAGTCCAACATGATACCAGTCGTATGTTCCAATCACCTCTTCTTCTATTAGTCCTGCATGTGTATTTTAGGCTCCAACACCCATGTACTTACTCTAATACTGGGTATTCCTATTTTATTTGTCTACTCTATTTTTTTGTCCCAACTACAATATCCTTCCCTAACTACATTCAATTTAATTTTTCAATGTACAGTTCAAATGGTACTTCTTCAATTAAAGTCTTTCTAGTGCTCCATCAGGTTAGGTAATTTATGATTTTACAGTTCTTTGCTCTCTAACTCTTACAGCACTTATATTTCCCTTATAATTTTTAACTTATTCCACTCAATGATTCCTTTCTCCAAGTTGTAAACTCCTTGTGAGATTATGCCTTATATATGAAACAGATGAATTCATATTTACAAAACACAGGATTAAAAAAAACAAGTTGCAGTTTGCAAAATTCCTATGAAACAGATTAAACTACAAACAGAAACTGGTAAACACAGACTGGATTTCCACTAAGTATTTATTAGTTGTAATGTGTTTAAGCTTTTTGAGACCTGAGCTATCCGTACTAGTTTTATTGTAAAGGTGCCTTTGAGTCGGTTCTGACTCATAGTGACGCTGTATAAGGTTTCCAAGGTGTTTTAAAATATTTGCAGGAGCAGAAAGCCTCATTGTTCCCCCACAGAGTGATGGGTGGGCTTGAACTGTGGGCCATGTGGTTTACAGTCCAGTGCTTATCTTATGGAGCCACTGCTAACCATTACTTATTCATTCCTAATATAAAAACTACACATTGCTAACCACACTAAAGTTGATATTGTTAGGTGCCATTGAGTCGGTACAGACTCATAGCGACCTTATGCACAGCAGAATGAAACACTGCCTGATCCTGGGCTAACTTCACTACTGTTGCCACACTTGAGCCCATTCATGCTGCCACTCTGTCAATCCATCTCGCTGGGGGTCCTCCTCCTCTCTCTGACCCTCCACCCCACCAAACATGATATCCTTCTCCAGTGACCGGTCCCTCCTGTCAATATGTCTGGAATATGAGAGACCAAGTTTGGCCATCAAGGAGCACTCTGGCCGCACTTCGTCCAACACAGATCTGTTGGTTCTTTTGGCAGCCCATGGTACTTTTAATATTCTCCTCCAACACCATAACTCAAAAGCATCAATTCTTCTACGGTCTTCCTTATTCTTGTTGCAAATATTTTTATTGTACAGAGCATAACCACTATAGTTTTGTCTTGAAACTGACCTTCGTTCAAACATTCTTAGGGAATAAAGTTTACAAGTACATCCCAACGCAATGACGAGTAGCAGGCCACAGATGAGGCTCCCTATGACAGCTGCAGTGATGACTCTGGTAGGCACAATGACCGGGCAATTCTCCTCATCACTGCCATCACCACAGTCATCTTGGGAATCACACACCCAGCTTTCAAACACACAACGATTGTTTTTACAGTGAAAATTTCCTGGCTGGCAAAAAAAGCAGTTTTTTTCATCTGAGCCATTTGGGCAATGATTCTGGTAGTTGCAGCGATCAGAACGAGGATAACAGACACCATTTCGGGAACATGGAAATTCTTCCTTTTGGCACATGGTACAATTGATTTCATCCCTTCCATTTGGGCAATGCCAATACCCATCACAGCGTTGCTGCTCCGTGTAACAACCCCAGTTACCCCCGCAGGGTATTTCCCAAGGTAAGCAGAAGCCATCCACTTGGTAAGTAGCATTAAACCCTCTTGCAGCATTCACTTTATCTGCACAAAAATGTACCCTTATCTGTCCAGAGGAAGACACAACTGAAAGAGGTGCATGTGAATCAAAAGCAGTTAACACACGCAGAAGCTTGTGTGGGTTCTCCTCCAATCCATCGTAGATTTTGACATAATCACCGTAACCAGTGCCGTCCAGTTTGAAGTCAGTGAAGCGCAAAATGACTTTACGATGATCGCCAGTGTCTATCAGCCAGGTGCAATTGCTTCCAGGGGGATAAAAGTCTGGATAATTAGGGGAATTAAAAGTACCATAAAAATACTTTAACCACTGCCCACAAGTGGGCACATCACAGTCGATCTCATCTCCTAGATCAAGGCAGTCAATGTTTCCATCACATTTTAAAGATTCAGGGAGGCAAGTGTAAACTTTGGTAAACCGAGACAGACATTGGAACTGGTTGTAAGCACAGGGTTGAAACGCAGCAGCTGTTGGAGGATTAGCATCTTTGGCACAGATTTCCTCATCGGAACTATCTCCACATTCATCCATGTTATTACATTTCCAGGCTTCTGGTATACACTTTCCATTACCACAACGAAACTGATCACAAGCACAGTTTGGTTCCTCAGATTTCCCTGGGGGGTGAGGAGGATATAGGGGAAATGGGGAAGGTGGAGGAGGAGGAGAGAAAGGGAAAAAGTCTTTATCCCATAAACAAATATGAAATCAGCAAGTGATATTTTTACAATCAAAGTTGATTAGACCCCAAGTCATAGCGGCTTAAAAAAATTCTTTTATGAAAAAAATTAAATAATACTTGTGCTGGTATGTGAATTACTCACCATTCATACTGCTTTATAGTGTTTCAAGTAATCATAAAACAATGCTTATATTATGCAGATTTTGTGGCTTTATATTAACAGCACAGTGAACTCCTAGTACATTACCCTAAGTATATAGCAGTAACAAGGTACAATTTAAAAAAAAGAAAAATTGAAGCACTGTATCCTTACACATATACCCATTACTGCTGAGTTGCTTCTGACTTACAGTAACCCTAGCGAACCGAAGAGAACTGACTCAAGGTTCCAAGGGTGTAAATCTTTAAAGAAGCCACATCTTTTTTCCTGAAGAGTGGCTGGTGGGTTCAAACCACTGACCTGTTGGTTAGCAGTCATGTGCTTTAACCACTGTACCACTAGAGCTCTTGATCAGATCCCTGTTGTTAAGTGCTGTTGAGTCAGTTTCCACTCATATCGACACTGTATAGGGTTTCTGAGGAGCAGCTGGTGGGTTTGAACTGCCAGCTTTGTGGTTAGCAGTCCAATACTTATCCTACAAGCACCACACTAGGACACCATTAGATCCCTAGAGTTCCAAAATTCTGACAATATTAGGCTAACGCGAAGGAGTTTCAAGAACTTCATAGGAAAATTCTTATAACGCCTATGCTCTAAATGATTGACATGTATGACCCAGTCACTGCTTTTGGAAGTTTGTTGTTGTTAAGTGCTATAGAGTTGGTCCCAACTCACAGTGACCCTGTGCAGGATTTCCGAGGCCATTTTTTTAAGCCTCATCTTTCTCCCAAGGCGTGACTGGTGGGCATAAACTTTGCTTCACATTCTAGTGCTTATTGTATAGCGCCACCGTGCCCCTGGATAAATTTGTTGTTGTTGTTGCTGTTAAGAGCGGCTGAGTCGGTTCTGACTCATAGCAACCCTGTATACGGTTTCCAAGGAGCAGCTGGTGAGCCCGAGAAGCCGACCTTGCGATTGAAATTGATCTTGCAGTCCAGTGCATGAATCCACAGCACCACACCAGGACTCTGGATGGATTTTCGGAACAGCAAAATACTTTCTTCTGAGACTATAAACTTATAATGGCAAAACTGGGTATGTCTTAAAGGTTTATAGACAATAATCATTCACACAGAAATATAATCTGAAGTAACTTTTAAGATATGATAAGCACTTGAAAGAAAAAACATTTCTTTTTGTAAGAAATATATTTATGATATTTAAATATAAATCAGCTTATAAAATTAACTACTTTACTGGGGACTAAATAAATTTGAGACTTAATTCAAGGACAATTAACCTTTAACTTCTGGGTACTCAATCTCAGTTCCCTTGATGGTCTTGCCAGATCAACTGGACAATGTTAATAAAACTAGCCCCAAAGTATCTCAACATGTAATAATACACAAGTCAGCTGATTATCTTTCTACTTATTTAAAGACACACCTGAAAAATATGCCAGTCTGAAACCCTTTCTAGATATGCTGTCATCTGAATGGAACCTGATCCAGACGTGATCTTGCGATGAGATATATGGTGGTGGAATTGTGGAACCACAAGCTCTGTAACTTTCAATATTCTTGTATGTTTCTATCGTCAACCAGTCCAAACTGCATCTTCTGGACCCCTGAATATCAAAATCCTGAAAACTATAAATAAAAAGTCAGAAAAGGTTTAAAAAATAATTTTGAAAACAACAACAACAACAAAATAAACTCATAATAATATAATTTGAGGCCATTGTTAAAAGACTCCATACCTGGAATGATTCTCCTGGGTTTTCTAGGCATACAATCTGATCATTTTGTAAATAATTAACAGTGCTTCTTTGTTTCTAATATTTGTATCTCTTTCCCAGATTCAAGAACACAACTTATGTTTCATATATAATAAGAGATTTCAGAATAATACTAAAATAACAGGTGATCACGGGTAATGTTTTTCTGCTTCATGAGACTGCTCCTAGCCTTTCACTATTAAGTGTTATCTGGATATTGCTGAGTTTTCCTTTTTCTAATTCATAACTAATATAGCAATAGGTTCACTGCAAAAATTCAAATAATATAAACAATTATAGACTCCTAAGTAAAAGACCTTCTTAAGCACTTACTTACTCTGCCAGACTTTTGGGTATAAATTAAATGAATTATTTTATGTAACTCAAATATTATCCTGTAACTTGCTTGAAGCTGAGTGGATGAAGGTATCTATTTGTTTTTTGCACTATGCTATGGTTATACCATACTTTCGTTTCTTTTGACAATTTGTTTCCTTCCAAACAATGCTTTTATTTCACTGATCACACCTTGTTAATCAAACATGAGTTATTACATTGGTTTACTAAATTTTTGTCTGTTTAAAACGCTTAACTGCTCAGAAATCTCTTTTTACTTTCTCTGCTTCTTGAATGTAAAAAATGCAAAACACAATAATCTCTTCCAGTCTTAATTAACAAAAACTCTGAATAATAAATGGTGAGAAAGAGAGGAAGAGGAAACAAAAATTTGTCTGCTGTATACATTTAAGAAAGACCACTTATAATCAGAATATCCTAAACTGTTCTGTTTTTGAGTCAGAAACACCAATAATCTGATCAACGAAAGTACATACACAGCTTTCTTTTAGATCAGACTAGGTTTGCTCAACTGCTTGCTTAATGTAAGTTTTATAGTTTACAAACTATAAAAATTAAAATTTTTTTTAAATGAATAAATAAATTTTTCAGTCAAAATTACTTTACACCCTAACATTAAAACCTAAAGCTCATAAAACACGGGAATAAATAATAGACAAAAATTCAAACAATAAAAAAAGCACACAGAAAACAAACCACTGCTTATGAAAAAGGAGTCACCAAAATGTCATTTTCCTAGATCTGAACATGCTGCACCAAAATGAGGTCTGGCTGTATTTCTTTGCTGCTGTCTTATCTAAGCGACTGTTGGGTTTGAACTGCTGACCTTGTGGTTAGCAGACCAGTGCTTAACCTACACACCATGCCAGAATTCCTACATTAGTGATAATGAAGTCTCATTAACTTGAATTTTACCAGGATTTTTTTAAAAGATTCTGAGTAGTTGCAACAAGGACTGGTAGTTTGTTTCCACTTTTTCATTATTATGAACAATACTGTAAAGAATCTTTAAACATGTAACTCTCCACGCACAAGTAAGTATTTCTCGATGATGCAGCTTCCTTCCTAGAAGTAGAACTGATAAGTCAAATGATACAATTCCACTTTAAATTTGTTAAAACTCTTGACAGCAAATTATAAATGATAAATTTACTAATTTATAATTCCACCAAGAGAGTGTCACAGTACTACGCCTCCAGCTGAATTTGATATTTTAATTAAAAAAAAAAAGTTGCCATTTAGGTGGACAGAAAAAGATTTATCATTGTTCTATTTTACCTTTCCTTCACTGAGACGGAAACCAATTTTTCTATGTTTAATCATTTATTTTTATATTTTTTGCTATGAGGTGCCTTTTGCCCATTTAAAAATATTGAATTGTCTTCTTCTTGAGTTATAAACTTTATATTCTGAATAACAAAATCTTTGTTTTATATCTATACATTGCTAGTATTTTCCCTGAATGCCTGGTGTGGTGCTGTAAGATCAGCATTGGACTAGGAGCCTGAAGGTCAGCAGTTCAAACCCACCAGCTGCTCCTTCTAAAAGCTATACAAGGTTGCTATTAAATCAGAGCTGACTCGACAGCACTGAACAACAATATTTCCTCTAGTCTATGGCTTGGCCTTTTCATTCACTTAATAGTATTTCTTAAGGAGCAGAAATTTAAATTTTAGTCTTTATGAAGTCAAATTCGTTATGTTTTCTTTTTGGTCTTGGTTACTACCTTTAGCATTCTAAGATAACACTGTGTACTTGTTAAGATCAAAAAGATAGTCTTCAATGTTTCTATTAAAACTCTACAGTTTCAGTTTCTAAATTTGTACCTATGATTCATCTTGAATTTTCTGTGTGGAGGTAGGGAGTCCACCACTCATCTGTCAGTTTGTCGTACTGTGGTGGCTTGTGAGTTGCTGTGATTCTGAAAGCTATGCCACCGGTATTGTAAATACCAGTAGGGTCACCCATGGTGGACAGGTTTCAGATGAGGTTCCAGACGAAGACAAACTAGGAAGAAGGAGTGACGAACTACTTCTGAATATTTACTCACTGAAAACCTTACGAACAGCAGAGAAACACTGTCAGATATAGTGCTGGAAAATGAGCCCCTCAGGTTGGAAGGCACTCAAAATGTGACTGGGGAATAGCTGCCTCCTCAAAGTACAGCTGACCGTGATGATGCGAATGGAGTAAAGCCCGTGGGATAAAAGCCCATGAGACCTTCATTTGCTGATGGGGCATAACTCACAATGAAGAGAAACAGCTGTAAACATCCACTGAAAATTGGAACATGGAATGTATGAAGTATGAATCTGGGAAAATTGGAAAAGTTGTCAAAAATAAAATGGAATGCATAAACATCAATATCTTAGGCATTAGTGAGTTGAAATGGATTGGTATTGGCCATTTTGAATCTGATGACCACATGGTTTACTATGCCAGCAATGAGAAATTGAAGAGGTATGGTGTTGCATTCACTGTCAAAAAGAACATATTCAGATCACTCATGAGGTACAACGCTTTCTGTGATAGGATAATACCCACACGCCTACAGGGAAGCCCAGTTAATACCACTATTATTCAAATTTACGCACCAACCACTAAAGCCAGTGAGGATGAAATACAAGAATCCTACCAACTTCTTCACCCTGAAATTGATCAAACATGCAATCAAGATATATTCATGATAATAGGTGATCAAAGGTTTGGAGCAAAGAGGAGGGATCAGTAGTTGGAAAATATGGCCTTGGTGACAGAAATGATGTTGGAGAATGCATGATAGAATTCTGCAAAATCAATGATTTGTTCATTTCAAATACCTTCTTTAGACATCATAAGAGACGACTATACATATGGACCTCACCAGATGGAATACACAGAAATCAAATTAACTACAGCTGTGGAAAGAGACCATGGAAAAGCTCTATATCATCAGTGAAAACAAGGCCAGGGGCAGACTGTGGAAAAGACCATCAATTACTTATATGCAAATTCAAACTGAAGCTGAAGAAAATGAAAACAAGTCCACAAGAGCCAAAATATGACCCTGAATATATCCCACCTGAATTTAGAGATCATCTGAAGAATAGATTTGATACATTAAGCACTAAAGACACAAGACCAGAAGAGTTGTGGGATGACATCAAGAACATCATATATGAAGAAAGCAAAAAGTCATTAAGAAGACAAGAAAGAAGGAAAAGGTCAAAATGGATGTCAGAAGAGACAATGAAACTTCCTCTCCAGCGTAGAGATGCTAAAGCAAATGAAAGAAATGAGGAGGGACAAGAGCTGAACAGAAAATTTCAAAGATTAGCTCAAGAAGATAAAGCCAGATATTACAACAAAATGTGCAAAGATCTGGAATCAGAAAACCAAAAAGGAAGAACACGCCGCTCAGCATTTCTCAAGCTGGGTAACTGAAGAAAAACTTCAAGCCTCGACTTACATTATTGAAAGATTCTCTGGGCAAATTACTGAATGATGCAGAAAGCATCAAGAGAAGATGGAAGGAATACACAGAGTCACTGTACCAAAAGGAAATGGTTGATGTTCAAGCGTTTCAAGAGCCAATGATACTGAAGGAGGAGCCAATGATACTAATGCACTGAAGGAATTGGAAAAGAACAAGGCACCAGGAATCGATGGAATGAAAATTGAAATCTTTCAAGAAAGTGAGGCAGCACAGGAGGCACTCATTTATCTCTGCCAAGAAATTTGGAAGACAACTATCTGGCCGACTGATTGGAAGAGATCCGTATTTGTGCCCGTTCCAAAGAGAGGTGACCCAACAGAATGTGGAAATCATCAGACAATATCTTTGATATCCCATGCAAGTAAAGTTTCATTAAAGGTAATACAGAAACGGCTGCAAGCATATATTGACAGAGAACTTCCAGAAGAAGTTCAAACTGACCTTGTGGTCCAGTGTTTATCCTGCAGAGCCACCCTAGGACTCCCAATTGTAAAGAATAGATGTTGTAATTCATTTATGCTGTTTATTTAATATTCTTTTATTTGAGAAAGAAAGGAAGGCAGTCTTCTTTTTATTAGTTTTTTTAGTCCCTTTCCCTCTACTACATCTCAAGATCGTTATCTCTATTTTTCCACGTTATCTTTAGATATTTTAATTCAAATATTAACAGAGCATAAGAGAGAGTATTCATTGTTCCTCTTCTCTCAAACTGGGTGAGGAAAAAAAATCACCTTTCTTTCATTAACTTCTAATTAGCATTTTCTTCAACTATGATTACAAGCAGTAAACCATAATAGTATTTATAATACCTGTTACACTGTCACTAACAGAAATCGCAATGTTTTTGTTAAGTACCGTCCAGTAGATTCTGACTCATAGCACCCTGTATAGGTTTGTTGAGGCTTTAAATCTTAGAGGGCGCAGAAAGCCTCATCTTTCTCCTCTGGAGCAGCTGATGGACTCCTTCCATGGATTTTGTGGTTCTCAGTCCAGTGTTTATTGTATGAAGCCATATCACATCTTTTCATATTACATTTTAG